AGTCCAGCTTCTCGGATTATTTGCTCGGCATGTAGATTGAATAAGTGTGGAGAAAGGATACAACCCTGACACACTACCTTCCTGATTTTAAACCATGCAGTGTCCCCTTGTTCCGTTCGAACGACAGCCTCCTGGTCAAGGTACAGGTTCCTCATGAGTACAATCAGGTGTTTGGGAATTCCCATTCTTCTCATTGTTATCCATAATTTGTCATGATCCACACACTCAAATGCCTTTGCATAGTCAATAAAACACAAGTACACATCTTTCTGGTATTCTCTGCCTTGAGCCAAGATCCAGCTGACAACAGCTATGATATCCTTTGTTGCACATCCTCGTCTGAATCTAGCTTGCACCTCTGGAAGTTCTCTGTCAGTATACTGCTGCAACCGTTTTTGAATCATCTTCAGTAAGATCTTACTTGCGTGTGATATTAATGATACTGTTCTATAATTTCCACAATCTGTGGGATCACCTTTCTTTGGAATGAGTACAAATATGGATCTCTTCCAGTCAGTTGGCCAGGTAGCTGTCATCCAAATCTCTTGGCATAATCAAGTGAGTGCCTCCAATGGGGCATCCGTTTGTTGAAATATCTCAGTGGGTATTCCATCAATTCCCGGAGCTTTGTTCTTCGCCAGTTCTTTCATTGCAGCTTTGACTTCCTCCTTCAGTACCATTGGTTCTAGATCATACGCCACTTCCTGAAATGGATGAAAATTGACCAGTTCTTTTTGGTACAGTGATTCTGATGTTTCCTGCATCATTCCAATATTTTGCCCATAGAATCTCTCAATATTGCAACTCAAGGCTTAAATTTTTTCTTCAATTCTTTCAACTTGAGAAATGCTGAGCGTGTTCTTCCCTTTTGGTTTTGAAACTACAGGTCTTTGCATATTTCATTATAGTAATTGGTTTTCTCTGCTCGAGCTACTCTTTGAAATCTTCTGTTCAACTCTTTTATCTTGTCATTTCTTTCCTTTGCTTTAGCTACTCTCTGCTCAAGGGCAAGTTTCAGAGTCTCTTCTGTCATCCATTTTCATCTTCTCTTCTTTTCTCGTCTTTTTAGTGATCTCTTGCTTTCTTCATGGATAATGTTCTTGATATCCTCCCACAATTCTTCTGGTTTTCGGTCATTG